ATGGCACCTTTTATAAAGCTGTAATGATTCAGACTTTATTATACCTTTTTCGAGAACATTAGGTCTCTTCACTACTATCATACACCTACGTGCAGATTATAACATTGCCAGAGCAATTGCTTCACTTTTGTTCCCCAAACAACCCATTCTACCGAAGCTGATAACTTTAACATTTTGATGGAAGGCTTTTGCAGTGTCTTGAGGAATCATCACAGATAGCCATGTAAAAGCTGGAATGACTGTCCATCTCTGATGTTCTGCTCTTAGAAGTAAGCTCTTTAAAAAGAAATCAATAAGGGCCAATATCTGAGAATATTTCCATGACAAATTTGTTATTATATGTTAACTATCTGCCAGTGTACTCAGTACACTTACTAGACATGCAATAGAAAAGCAAATATAAAGGGAAAAAGCAGCCTCTAAAACAGTCACTTAAATAAACTGAAATTATTCATTAGGAAATAATATAGCTGAACATCACCTTTCTTGCATTATATTAGGGACTAATATGTTTTAATAGTACAATGTTATGCAGTTGTAAAAAACACAGAAATTAATTATTTTAAAATCTGATTACTATTGGCAGTTTTGTGCGGGACTAATAAGAAGACATTACTTTCTGACTTATGTACCATTATGAAAAATGTTACCGTAGATGAAAAAATCACTGCCAAAATTAATTTTCTGTCATACTAAAAAATATAATAAAAGTGGGCTACTGAGTTTTTACATAACAAAATCAAAGGGCATACAGAGGCTTGGTCTACAATAGACCAGGTGGGTCAATTTAAGGTATACAACTCCAGCTACGCATTTTGTGTACTTGGAGTCGACTTACCATAAACCAAGCCATGGCAGAGTCCACACAGCAGAAGGCTGACAGAAGCACATACTCCTGTCGGCTTCTCTTACTTCTCACAGAACAAGGAGTACCGGATGCCGGTGGAGACTCCCTCAGCGTTCAATTTATAGGTCTACATTAGATCCACTAAATCAACTGCTGGAAGATCAACCTTTGGTGGTCTTCTCCCTACTGTAGTTATGCCCAAACAGTGTATATTGAAGTAAATAAAACAGCCTCATAGTAAAAATATTTGGTCACATTTCCATCATTATTCCTTATAGGTGCACCACACACATTTTTCCCCTAGACATTCTAATGCATACAAGCATTTTAGGGGCAAACCCTGGAGAAATCCTAACTCCTGGAACAAGCCCACAAATGCTTATATCTCAGGGTCAGCAATCTACCCAAGGTTGTAGAATGCCTCTACTTCCATGGTCACACCCTGAGGACAGCACTTGTGTATTGCATCACTTGCATACAGGTGCACTGGGGGTAATGGATAGTGACTGATGTCACAAGATCCTCAAAAAATACTTTATTTTTGATAGCATTACCTTGTTTGACTTGTTAGCCTAAAGCCAATTACTGATTCTTTGTTTAAGCCAGCTGCTTCAATATTGATGACATCGTCTACTTCTGCCTCAGTAGCAAGTAACAGTATTGGAAACTTCCAGACACCACCTGTAGTGCACCGTACCACCAATGTTGCAGATTTCCTTCAAAATTAAGTTAAAAATATAATTACAAGGAAAGCATAATGAAATACAAGGTCAATAAATCAGTGTCCAAAGTGCAAAGTAGACCTATGTTTCTGCAAAACTGTAATGCATTGTAATGAAAATACAGCTGGCTTTAAATTAGAATGTAACTTTTTACACTATATACTACTTTAGCAGTCTTATTTTGGACTGCATTGTCAGCTAAGTATGCTGTATGCTGTACTAAGAAAGGACCTAACACAGATGCAAAATAATTGGCTCAGCTGTAAGGCCTGATTCTTTTATTTATATGGCGTGATGCTATGTATTGCAATGGAGTTACTCCAGATTTACACTGGTGTGAAAAGAACATGTACCCCAGTCCACAAAGGGACTCTGGTGTTGCAACAATGACTGTTATAATGCTCAACTTTGGGGTGCCTAGCTAACCAGTGGAATCATCTAAGCTCCATATATTGGCTAGCTACAACCATGGAAATGAAACATTTCAATACAAGATTATGGGGACCCAAACTGAGGGAACACAGCATTTCACCTGAGGTACGTTTAGACTACAGGCTTTAGTCGACAAAGGCTTGTCAACAAAGCTTCTGTTGACAAAGAGCATCTAGACTACATCCAGTTCTATCAACAAAGCAGCTTGCTTTGTCGACATGAGAATGTAGACGCAAAGGACAGTGTAGATGCAATAACGCCTTCTGTCTCTGTCGACAAAAGGCGTTATTCCTTGTAGAATGAGGTTTACCACCATCAACAAAACTGCCGAGTTCTGGTGTTTACCACCCTCAACAAAACTGCCGAGTTCTGGTAGAGTACTTGGTGGTAGTGTAGATGCAGGTATAGTTTTGTTGACACACCCCTGGAGTACAGAATCAAAATGTCATCCACTCACATTTTGCCCTTCTGCCCCTCCATCAGATGGAAGGGTTACGGGGCTAAATCTAACTGAGTGGCATTGCAAGTTGGCACACGGGATTGCAGGTTTGGCCTGGCTGCCTTGCTTTTGTGGCAGGCACCAGGGTGCAACACCATTCATTACTCTAATTTGATCTGTGCTGTGTGAATATGGAAAAAGGTGATCAGAGCAAATGGAGGTGCTAGGTGTCTGGGATCAAGAGTCTCTACCTTAGTCCAGGAGCAGAATGTTGAGTTGGGGGAAGTGGGTGCTTGTAAGTGGCCAGGAAAGACTAGGGGCAGGAGAAAATGGCTGGGGGATGAGTTGTTGGTGGGCTTTGGGGTTAGCAGGGAATGTTGAGGACTACGGCAAGTGGAGGATGCTGAGTGGTAGGGTGAATTGAGGGGACTATAGGAGAAATACGGGATGTTCGTGAGTGCTGGGTTCAGGATTCTGAGGTGACGGAGGTATGTTTGGGGCTGTGGCCAGTGGGACCGAGTTGGTGGGACCTGCGGTGAGTGGGAGGTATGTCATGGCTGCTGGAATGTATGCGGAGATTTTAGAATAAGTGGGAGGAGAAGGTTGTTGGGATATAGATGGGATGGGTAGGTATGGGGGTGTGGTTCATATGGGACGGTGGTGCTTTGCTAAGCAGCTCTTGAAGAGAATTAATCTCTTTACTTTGTTAGAATGTTGTTTTTTTTCTATTAGTCTATTTCTGGTGTACTCTAGCTCCTAAGCAACATTTTGACAATTTAAGAACCATTGTCAATCTGGTCTGATCAACCAGTAAAATTGGGTTTATGGAGTTGTCCAAAAGTAGTTGGAATATGCCAGTATTTTTTCCTCATATGTGGAAGGCTCATACCCTATCCAAATAGAAATGTGTTAGCAGTATCTAGGAGATGTTTCAGATATTGGTTAGGGCTGGCTTTTTATCTAAGTCATGTACCATTTCTATAATACAGAAGCAGACACATAAAAAATCCTGGACTTCGATAGTTATGTAATATGGATTAAGTTGCCATACTTCAGCAAAAAAAAAAAAAGGCATAAACAGACTTCATGAAATTGCAGAGCTGGAACTCTTGCAAACTAGACACTGTCAGACTGAGTCTGAATAGACACTGGGTAGTGGCTAGCTCACTACAAAAAGTAATTTTGCCTCTTTTGATATTCACATCTTCTCATCAACTGTTGAAAATAGGCCATATCCACCCTGATTTAATTGACCTGATTAGCACTGGTCCTCCACATAGTAATGTAACACTCCTATCTTTGCTTGTGTAGATAGATAGATAGATAGATAGATAGATAGATAGATAGATAGATAGATAGATAGATAGATAGATAGATAGATAGATAGATAGATAGATAGATAGATAGATAGCTTATGCCCAAATACATTTCAGAGGAGTAGTTCAGAGGAGTAGCTGTGTTAGTCTGTTCATTTAAAAACAACCAGCAGCACTATGGCACCTTAGAGAGTAATAATTTTATTAGGTTTTACACACAAAAGCTCATGACCAATACATTTGTTAGTCTCTAAATGCCATAGTCTTTAATGTGTCACAGGATGCATTGTTTATGCCAAAACAGACTAACATGGCTGTAACATGGACTAGATACCGTGATCTATGAAAAGTGCTGAGGATGTAGTTGTTTCAAAAGTGTTGGGGGTGGAAGTATTTTTTGGCTTGTTTTAAATTGGATGGCAGTACGAATACTTGATTTGGTGTCTGTGTCTCAGAGACCACATTTCATACATTTGTATACTCAAAGGCCACAAGGAAGGCTGCAAACTCATCTGGATTGGCTGGGAATCTCCCAGAAATAGAATCCATCTCCTAGTAGCTATTGAAACCAATCCTTTTAATAGGCCACTAAATGTTTCATCAGAAGTGTAACAAGGCAATATAGTAAGTGTGATACTTGACTTGGTTCCTGCAGCTCCTGCAGGCAACCAAGAACTATGGCCAATGGGAGTGCCTCTAAGAATGGGATTCATAAAACCAGCACACCAAGCAGGGAGACGGTGGTAGTGTAGACATACCCCTAGTCAATAGCAGATGTTGAGAAGAGGGGTGTGTCCTTTTGCCATCCCTCTCTCAGGGTCTTAGAGGTCACTTTCTCCAGCCCAAACTTAAGCATCTATCTCCATTTAGTTTCCACAACCAGGAACCTTCTCCTTGGAATCAGGAACCTAAGCAGTTTCTTGCCAGAGTGACAATATTGCACACCTAACTCCACGCAAAATGGTCAACCAGTGAAGGGAAGAAGATCTTTTTTATCTGTAGTGCAGCAGTTAGAATATTTGCCCAGGAGATGGCAATCCCCAATTCAATTCCTCCATCTGCCTGATTTGGAGCTGCAATTTGAAGATGGGTTTCTCACCAGTTCTCAGGAAACCTAGGTTCAAAATCCCTTCTCTTCATCAGGCTGATCAGGAAATTGAACTTGAGTCTCCCACATCCAAGGTGAATTCCCTAACTAGTGGGCTAAAGGTTACAAGGGAGACCACCATCTCTCCTCCTCCCCTACGTTGTGTGTAACATTAGGCATGCTGTTGGATTGGGCCCAGAAACAAAGTAGGTTTTAATATCAAAGAACCACAATGAAAAAAAGCAAGGAAACACACCCTAAGGGTATGTCTAGACTACATGCCTCTGCCAACAGAGGCATGTAAAATAGGCTACCCGACATAGTCATTTCAAAATAATCTCTTAAAATCTAGGGGTATATCTAGACTACATGCCTCGGCTGACAGAGGCATGTAAAATAGGTTACCCGACATAGTCAATGAAGTGGGGATTTAAATATCCCCGGCTTCATTAAAATAAAGATGCCTCGTGAAACGAGGTTTACAGGAGCGGTCGACAAAGGCTTCCCTTGTTGACCTATCCGCATCTTGACTTGCGCGCTGTGCCGATGATCAGCTGAGCTGGCACAGCACGGTGGACATTTTTATTTTAATGAAGATGGGGATATTTAAATCCTCGCTTCATTGTTTATGTCGGGTAGCCTATTTTACATGCTTCTGTCGGCAGAGGCATGTAATCTAGACATACCCTAGGGCTGCGTCTAGACTGGCATGATTTTGAGAAACTACTTTTAACGGAAAAGTTTTTCTGTTAAAAGTATTTCCGCAAAAGAGTGTCTAGATTGGCATGGATGCTTTTGCACAAAAAGTGCTTTTGCACAAAAGCATCCATGGCCAGTCTAGATGCGATTTTGCACAAGAAAGCCTCGATCACCATTTTAGCCATCGGGGCTTTTTTGCACAAAACAGTTCTTCCCTGTCTACACTGGCCATCTTGTGCAAGTATTCTTGCGCAAGAGGGCTTTTTCCTGAGCGGGAGCGTGAAAATATTTGCACAAGAAGCACTGATTTTGTACATTACAAAGTCAGTGCTCTTGCGCAAATTCAAGCAGCCAGTGTAGACAGCTGGCAAGTTTTTGCACAAAAGCGACTGCTTTTGCGCAAAATCTTGCCAGTCTAGACGCACCCTAGATGTTTATTGTTAGAGGAAAAACAGAGAGAGACAGAGCAAGGAGAGGGACATCTGGGCAGGATTTGAAAGACAAAAGTAATATATTGTACCCACTATTGCCAGTAAGTCTCATAGCAGATATAGATTCTTTAGTAGTTCAGGAACACAGACTTACCTCATTGGTTTGTTAGGTGCAAATACTATATTGAAGGTCAGTGTTATAATCCCAAACTCTGCATCCCGATCTTTTTGCACCAGATTTATAGCCACTGAAGACTCAAGCTGAGATTTAACTTTATTAGATTCATATTGAATTTCATACAGAAATTCATCTGTTGTAGAAAAACCTAAATGAAACAAGCACAGAAGATCAATTTGTGCATGTTCTAAATGCAAGCATTCATCTTTCTAACAGGATTATAATTGTAAAAATGTGTTTTAGTACTGAGTGTGACATATACCAATTAAAAAACAGGAAGGTATCTAAAAGTGGAGATATTTGCGTTCTGGTTAAGCAAGGAATTTTACTACTTTCCATTGGTGAGGTGGAGAGTCTCAGACAAAAAAAAAGGGGGGGGGGCAAAAAAAGGGAAACCCACTCAGGAGCAGCTTAATGTTCGTACTTCTGCTCTGATGACCTGCTTACCTCTCTTGCCTGTGAGAGTGGTATTTCTAATTTATGAGCCAATAGTAAGCTAAAAGAGCATCTTTTTTTGTTTGTTTTTTTGTTTGTCTGCTAATGTCTTTTTTTGTTTGTTTGTTTGTTTGTCTGCTAATGCCACTAGAGTGCTATCAAAAAATCCCTCATTTGGAACATAATTGTCAATGCTGTCTGCCAACCTGAAAAAACAGTTGCTGTACTGAAAATAGAAAAGAAGTCAGTCAACCTGTCTTCTCTCAACCACTGTAGAATCTATTACAAGGCCACAAAGCAATGTTGTAAGATGAACTAGATGAACATCTTGAAGTACTACAATCCATAAAAATAGCAGCCTGTCCTTGTGCATATCTACTATGTAACCCTGGGTTCTATTGAGGAGAAAAATAATGAAATAATGAGTAATATGTTCCTGATCCACTTCAATTAAAAGTATTGAGGGCCATGTTTCTGGGCTGTCCTAGCCAAAAAAGGTGTGAATTATATTGGAAATGGATTTTTATTTGGCTTTCAGATCCCATATGAGGAAGAGAGACGTGTGTAGGCAAGGAATTTACAAGCCATATAGTTCAAGGAAAAACTCAGGTGTAGGAGACAAAAGGCTACCTGGCCCCTTTGGGAATTCACCAATCTTGGATGTATAGCATTCGCCTCTGGGTTTTTTTTTTCTAAAAAATTGAGAAATAACAGAGAGAACTACACTGGGTGCATTACCCTCTCTATTAATAACAATATTGATCTTAATCTGTGTTCAGGGTTATATATTCCTTATCTCATTGCCATGATAGAGAGATGTGGCCATGGTGCACAGTTAGCAAATTGTGAGTTTAAATCTGCATATCAGTTTCTCTCTTCTGAGCCCAAGCATTTTAACTCGTATTTCCAGTTTGAAAGCTCCTACTGTTTGGATTGATGTTTGCTGATGGGCTGTTCCATCTGTTCTTTAGGTTTCAAGAATTTTAGCATGATATTAGGGTATGTCTACACTAGCCCCCTAGATCGATCTAGGGAGGCTAATGAGGGCAACCGAAATTGCAAATGAAGCACGGGATTTAAATATCCTGTGCTTCATTAGCATGTTCCTGGCCGGTCGTCATTTTTAGAAATTGACTAGCCTGAAGTAACTGCCTGCACCTACACGTGGCGGTGAAATGGGATTCTGAATTAAAGCCCTAAATCTAATTAGCTGGTAAACCTCATTGCAGGAGGAATTAATGCATCTACATACAAAACCTATTTCGAAATAGCGCGTCCACACTGAGTGAACCCTGAACCGAAGTTAAGGCTGGCCGGAATCAGCGCTGGCAGGGCATCAGGTTAGGACTTAGTGTGTGGGGCTGCTGCCTGAGGCTAACTGAGCTCCATGCTTAAAGGGACTCTACCCCCACCCCAGACAGACCGTTCTCAGGGTTCCCCGCTTGCTTGTCTACCTTGATGAGGGACAGCAAAGTAGTCCTGTCTTGGAGTACTCTGAGTGCCCTCACTCGGGACACCACAGCACTTGGCCACATGGGATGTGTTGCTGCAAGCCTGGCTGCACTTTCTGCAGGCTGCCATCCGGGAGGTACATAGGAGGGCTGTCAGTATCCAGGAGGCCCTGCGGGAGAGCTTCTACCCTGAGGAGCACTAAGAGCCTCCCTGGTCTGCCCCCACTGGGAGCTTGTGCCTCATTCCTCCCTCACATCCTTCCACTTACCCCTCTGTAACCTCCCTTCCTGATGTCAAATAAAATACATGTATTTTCCTGAACACAAACTCTCTTTATTTAACAAAACTCAGGGGGAGGGAATGAAACTGGTGAGACTGGGGAATGAGGCAGAAGAGGGGAAGAGAGAGGGTGGAAAAGGGGAGGGGGAAACCTGGGAGGAGGGAGCTGGAAAGGGGAAGAAGGGGGAGGGGAAGCTCAGGGTCCAGGGTTGGGGTCCAGTAATACCAAATGCTGTCGAATCTGTGCCCCTCTGTGCGCACCATTTTCCTTGAAAATATACTCCAAAATCATTTCCCCCGCAGAAATCAAATTGTATCTGAAGCTACCCACAGGTCAAATGGTTTGGCACACCAAAGCCCTATGACACTGATCAAGGCATGTCTCCCATACTTCTAAATCATCTTTTGTATTCCTGGCTATCATGATGAACTGATGAGACTGTGTGATCCCAACAGTGGAGGATTCAAACTAGGCACAGAAAGCTCTGCCCAGAGCAGCCAACTTGAAGCAAAATTCAAGTGCCCTAAAAGCACCTTCAGCTGCCTGAAGGTAGTCTTTCCAACACTTTGTGTGGCCCATATCAACACCCCTACATTATCCAGTTTCTTCCTGAATAGCTGTGATCAATGCTGCATTAGAACTAACTCAGTTCTCAAATATGTCAACTTCTGTGTTGGACCTTCTATCATTTCAGTGGCCAGTAGGTCTCCCGAAGTGCACAGCCATCTTCTGAAAATGCTCAGTATGTGGGCACATTTGCCTGTTTCCAACTTTCCTGAAAAGAGTCATCAAGGGTATGTCTAAATTGCAAAGTTAATTCGAAATAACAGCTGTTATTTCGAATTAACTTTGCAATTTAGACATACCCTTGATGACTCTTTTCAGGAAAGTTGGAAACAGGCAAATGTGCCCACATACTGAGCATTTTCAGAAGATGGCTGTGCACTTCGGGAGACCTACTGGCCACTGAAATGATAGAAGGTCCAACACAGAAGTTGACATATTTGAGAACTGAGTTAGTTCTAATGCAGCATTGATCACAGCTATTCAGGAAGAAACTGGATAATGTAGGGGTGTTGATATGGGCCACACAAAGTGTTGGAAAGACTACCTTCAGGCAGCTGAAGGTGCTTTTAGGGCACTTGAATTTTGCTTCAAGTTGGCTGCTCTGGGCAGAGCTTTCTGTGCCTAGTTTGAATCCTCCACTGTTGGGATCACAAAGTCTCATCAGTTCATCATGATAGCCAGGAATACAAAAGATGATTTAGAAGTATGGGAGACATGCCTTGATCAGTGTCATAGGGCTTTGGTATGCCACACCATTTGACCTGTGGGTAGCTTCAGATACAATTTGATTTCTGCGGGGGAAATGATTTTGGAGTATATTTTCAAGGAAAATGGTGCGCACAGAGGGGCACAGATTCGACAGCATTTGGTATTACAAAGCATATTACTTTTTGTATTTGTTCCTATATATCTTGGTGTTTTTGACTAGTCTGTGAATTTCATAATTTTTATTTCTCTCTTATACTTAAATTTAATTCTTTGAGTAGTGAGTTCTAAAATGCCTAACCTGACATGGCTGATGTAATTATCCCAAATGTAGTTTTTTAAATATATATTATATCTAGGTTTTTGGTTTCTACTGGTGGTACACATCTGCACATTACCTTGATATTGATGCCTATAAGAAAAAACATTCCCTCTGATATTTCCATCCATGTCCAGAACACTGTCCGGGAGTATCTTGAAATTAGATTCAATCTCTTGGAGGCTCGTACAGCCAAATGAGGAATTTGGCTGCTAATAGTTTGGCAGCTCAGAGGGGGTAAGGCAGACTCCTCTCTGCCCTGGTCCTGCACTACTTCTGGAATGGCTGGCACATCCCTGCGGCTCTTGGAGAAGGTGGAGGAAGGGGTCTCCACATACTGCCCTAGCCAAGCAGCTCCCGTTGGGCAACAATAGGAAACCAGGGCCAATGGGAAGTGTGGGGGATACTGCCTGTGGCCGGGGACAGGCAACAATAGGAAACCAGGGCCAATGGGAAGTGTGGGGGGTACTGCCTGTGGATGGGGACGGCAGTATGCGGATACACCTGCTTCTCCTCCCCCTACTACCAGGAGTCATTGCTGGGCATAATGGTCACTTTCAGGAGTGGTGCAGAGCCAGGGTGGGGATGAGACTGCCATAACCCCACTACACCACTACTTGGGAGCCGTCTGAGGAAAGTGGTACCCATCTGGTGCCCCCATCTTGAATCCCTGCCCAGCTCTTGAATACCTACCCCAGCTTCTTGCATCCCAACCCACTGCTCCAGCCCTGAGCCCCTCCTGCATCCAAACTCTTTTCCAGAACCCATGCCTGAACTCCCTCTTGCATCCCAATTTTCTGCCCCAGACTCAGCCCAGAGTACCTCTCACAATCTGAATCCCTCAGCCAAAGATCAAAGCCTCTGTTGCCTGCACACAACCCCATAGTGAAAGTGAGTGACGTGGAGGAGGGAAAGGATATGGAGTGAGCAGGGCAGAGCAGAAAGTGGGGGCAAGGCTATTTGGGTTTAAGCTACTTTCTGGAATGCACTTAAATTTGATCGTGTGCATAAATAGTTGGAGACCACTGATCTACACACGTCAAAACATGTAAATTCAAACATAAAACTTAAGAGGGGAGAGAAAGCATGACATCATTTGGAGCCTATCAGAGGTAAAATTGCAGTTGCTGAGCAGATGTTTCTTTTGGCAGTCAAATCACACAATGCTGCACAAAGAATGCCTGTTTTATAGTTCAGTGATAGAAATGTAGCTGTGTTAGTCTGATGTAGCTGAAACATAAAACAGGACTACGTAGCACTTTAAAGACTAACAAGATGGTTTATTAGGTGATGAGCTTTCGTGGGCCAGACCCACTTCCTCATATCAAATAATTCAAACAGTTCAGATACTAGGGAGAAAATGCTGTGGCTGGTAAATTGAGAATTAAAT